TGGCTTTGGAAATAGTGCTCATGTAGGAGTAACATTGTGTGTCCCTCAGGGTGATCCGTACCACCACCTATCTTCTCTACTGTCTCCACTGCAACGCCTGTCTCTATCACTGGGCCTCTGCCTTCATAGGCCTGGGATCCACCCAGTGGGTCTACAACGGTGATGGCAACAGGTTGGAGCCCACACACACTGCCAATTTCCCTGTTTAGGGGGCAGGACACGTGTTTGAACCAGGTTTGGACAAATATGGAGGGTGAATAGATAGATAGATAGAAAGATAGATAGCTGTAGAGTCTCTTTGCCGCAGGTAGGATCCACTTCCTGTTTCGTTCTCAGAGCAGCAGGTTGAATGAGTCTCATGCCTAAGCTGCTCTTTGGCCTGTCCAGAATACCAAAGGATATAAAATGGCCTCCTGTGACTTATCGTTTGAATCAATCATCAGAACATCTCTGCTGTCTGGGCCCCCGTCCAGCTAGGCTCCTTTCTGTCTTCTGAAGGTTTTCCTTTCTTTCTGCTCAGCTACATTCGCTGCTACTACTTTGCGGTGAAGACGCTGATCACCATCGGCGGCCTGCCGGACCCCACCTCGCTGTTCGAGATCGTTTTCCAGCTCATCAACTACTTTGTCGGGGTCTTCGTCTTCTCCATCATGATCGGACAGGTGAGCTTCACGGCAGGGCTGCAGCAGGTGCTCCGGCCTCTCTTCAGTCTGTCCTTATTCTGGCAGCAGAACCCGGTCACATGACTCCACCGCTGCTCGTTTCCCCACCAGATGCGCGACGTGGTCGGCGCCGCCACGGCGGCTCAGACTTACTACCGCACCTGCGTGGACAACACCATCAAGTACATGTCGTCCTACCGCATCCCCAAAGACGTCCAGAACCGGGTCAAAACCTGGTACAACTACACCTGGCAGTCGCAAGGCATGCTGGGTAAGGACGTAAAGACCTCTGTCCCCTCCGGTTTCGTACCTCTGACCTGCTTCACCTCCTTCTGTTTGCAGACGAGCAGGAGCTGCTGACTCAGCTCCCGGACAAAATGCGTCTGGATATAGCTGTGGATGTCAACTACTCCATTGTGAGCAAGGTCCCTCTTTTTCAGGTAAGGAAACCTTTAAAGGAACCCAGATGGTAGATAGAATTTTTTAGACGCTGTATCAGGTGGTGAAACCTTTTGTTCGTGTCTGGGAACGAGCAAATAATTTTTTGGTCATCATTAATGATGAGCTAAGGTCCACCCTCTTCCCTTTCGGCAGGGTTGTGACCAACAGATGATTTTCGACATGCTGAAAAGCCTGCGCTCTGTGGTTTACCTGCCCGGGGACTATGTCTGCAAAAAGGTCAGCTGGAAAGAATAAAAATGCACGAGGCATCATTTTCAAATTTGTTCTTTTGTTTTGAAGAGTTTTATTGTTTGTTTGCTCTCTGTATCTGATTTCTGTCTTTTTATTTTGCCAGGGCGAGGTAGGCCGGGAAATGTACATCATAAAAGCTGGGGAGGTGCAGGTGGTTGGAGGACCAGATGGGAGGACGGTGTTTGCCACTCTGAGAGCAGGTTCGGTCTTTGGAGAGATAAGGTGAGCAGATGAAATGGCTGTGTTTTGTTGCCATTTTTAACTAATCGTTGCATCTTTCTTAGATGCTGTTTGAAGGAAAAGTTAACAACTATCAGAGCAAGTTAGAATTTGTGAAACAATTTTTTCATTTTACCTGTATTCAGAATAAAAGGTTTCCAAACAGGTATATATTTTTAATAAATGACACATTGAACCCACCAAGTGTCTAGCTTTCAACCAAAACATGAGCCTAAATTTGAGGAAAGATCTGCTAATTGGAAGGTCAGAGAGGAGTTGTTGTCGGCAAAGTGAGCAGTTTGTTATTGAAACATAAACAAAAAATCCCTTAGGCTTTTTAAACAATTACAGTCCTCACAGTGAGCTTCTGTTTTTCTGAAATAAATCACCTCAAAATAGCTCATTTTCTTTTAACCACCGTGTCATGTGATGTGCAGTTTGCTTGCAGTTGGAGGGGTTAACCGGCGCACGGCCAACGTGATCGCTCATGGCTTTGCCAATTTATTCATCCTGGACAAAAAAGACTTGACTGAGATCCTGGTTCACTACCCCGAGTCCAAGAAGCTGCTACGCAAGAAAGCCAGGTTTGAGATTAACGAGATTCCCCGTTAGCTTTTGTTTCTGGTGTTTATTTGGCCTCCTGACATGCTAACGTCATAAATGGACGCCATGTGTTTCTTTACATATTTGAATAATACCATATTTGTTAGTCTGATGGTTTCCGTCTTGACTGCAGGAAGATGCTAAACAAGGGAAAGAAACCTGAACCCAAAGAGGAGGCTAAGGAACCCCCTCCGGCACCAGGAGCCCCTCCAAAGCCAGAGACTCCCAAACTGCTCAGAGCGGCTCTGGAGATGGCCGAGAGGTCCACAGGACTCAAAGGAGTGCTGGCTAAAGTCAAAGAGAAGACTAACAAATCCATTGTCTCCTTACAGGTGAACGTAGCCACAACCAGAGCAAACAAGACAAATGTGTTTTTATTTGTATTCAGCAGCTCCAATCCTGCTTCTCTTCCCTTATTCCAGCCATCCATCTGCTCCACCTTGCCCCCTCCGTCTCCGGGCCACAGCCCTGGCTGTGACACGCCGTCCTCCGGCTCCACCACCTTTCGCTCGGCCTCCCGTTGCCACGGCGCCACAGCAACCCAGTTTGAGAGGGAGGATGTCAGTGAAGACGAGTGGGATGAGGCCGGGAAGGGAAAAGAGAAGAAGTTATGATAATTTTATTTTCAAATGGCGACAGATGAGCCTGGACTTAAAGAAGAGCATTCAAATTTAAATAAAACAGAGCTTGAGAATTAATGGATGCAGGATAAATGCTGAAGTTGAACTCGTTCCTGGTTACACAATTTACTCAGATCAGACATTTTTACTGAATACATTTCTTGTCTTTCTGCCACATATACACGAGGAAATGTTTTTGTTGTTGTTTACAAACTGTTTACAGACTCTTCCCAAACTTGCCTTATTTTTTATTCTATCTCGTACCATGAGAGTAGATGTCACTTCTTATGTTTATGTATTTATGTATTGTACTATAATGTCCAGCACATTAGTCATTCTGATTAACATTTCTTTATCTGTTTTGAAGTCCATGTTTTCCTCTGTTTTGTAAATTATGTGAATATAAGTTAAGATTTAAAATGTCCTCTAATATAGGATTACTTTGGTGTTTGTAAAGGTGTGAACCTTAATGCTGGTTACATGTTTATGATTAAGTTATGATGAGATAATCGCCTATTTTTTTGTATATATGTATCTTTGTCAATCTCCCTAAACAACTATATTAGACAATCTGTAGAGGGGCATAATTTTTTGTAGAGTAAATAAGTAAACATCAGCAAATGAATGACTGGTGTAGTAATGTCTTTTATAAATCTTATTTAAATTAAATAAAAAATTCTGTATGTTTTATTACTTGATGTGCATGACCTATATCCAGGTGGAAAATAGAGTCGATCTAAAAGCCTAAACCAGAAAACACAACTGCAGAAACTGAACAGGAAGCAGAAGGCAGAGTGGGTCATAACCACAGTTGTTCCCACTCAAAATGCTCTGTGGGCGCCGTCTTGAACACTCAGGTCTTGTCAGTGCTGTTTTCTTCATTTATGAGAATATCAGAAATTCAGAAATGAAAAATGTTTAAAAGCTATTTTAATTGTCCAGTCGAAACACAAATAACTGATCCCCCTTTATCAAATTTATTATTTATTTTCTACTTGTCTAGATTATTCATGAAGGGAAGTTTCCATCTCTGTTGCTTGAGCAAAGCCAATGTGAGAAGTGGTGCTGGGGCTTTTTATTGGATTTCACTCTGATTTTAATACTTGCATGGAACATGCACCAGTAATAAAGCAATCTTAAAACATGGAAATTATTTCACAGTCAAGAGGCTAGTATATATCTGCAGTTTTCAGAATTCAGTTTTCATGACAAATGTATTTAAAGTCCTTTAATTACATAAGTGACCTGAACACCTGTAAGTCTTTCTGTTGAATTCTTTATCATTCAGCTGGCAACCTTCCTCTAACGGGAAACTACGCTTTCTGTATCACAGCCGCAGTTCAGAAGAAGAAGTGTTGTGGTTGGGGTCTTAAAAACAAGTTCTATTTATTCTATTATACAAAGAAACAAAACAAAATATAGGTCAACGTTTTCTGAGCCAACAAGATAGACCTGTGACAACCCTGTTCATTTTCATTTCCGTTCAATAGAAAAAATAAAAGGATGGGTCGGTGCTTATTTTATTTTATATAAAAGAAAAGGGGTAATAAAACAAAATGTAATTCTAGATAAGATTTTAAAATGAGGATTTTACGATATCCAAAATGTAGATTTACAAACATACATAACATACGTGACAAAATAACAAAAAGTACTTGGTGGATACCCTTGAAAAAAAGTGCGATTAAAGCATTAAAACTCGATAATATCTGCTCAAAATTATATATATATATACATATATATATATATATATATATATATATATATATATGTATGTATATATTTTCTGCTCGTGTAGGAAAACTCCAACAGGCTGGAGCGTCTCCGTTGCCTAACAACGCAGCAGCCAATCAGAGCATCTCTGCCGCTGATCCAACGCTCCGCCCTCTGACGTCACGTTGGTCAGCTGATCCAGCCGGAGTCTGACTGAGTGGAAATGTATAGTTGTTTTGCGTCCTTACGGTGAAAAATGGCTCTAAATGACATCTCGGCAGGCTCTCGTGTAGCAACAACTAACCGGAATTTTTAATTTAATCGTTACTTTACAACCAAAATCAGACGTTTCGGCTCTCAGCAGGAATTAGCTTAGAAGCTGAAGTTTGTTATGGGCAGGGTTTTAGCTTAAGCAGGCACAGTAGTTACTGAATAACTGCTAAACTTCAGATGGTCTGGAGCTCAGTGTGAATGAGAATAAGAGTTTGAAATGGAAGAAAGCGATGGGGAAGACATGACCGAAACACCAGAGCTTCCCCTGGAGGTGAGTTCATTTCTAAATATGCAGATTTGGAGGAAGAGGAGCAGCTGGTGTGTCCTTCAGGTGCACCACCGCCACCACACCTGTCAGATCTGACATTTGAGTCCGAAAATGTTTCTCTATATCTCCAAAACAGCCTTCTCTCTGCCGGCATTTTTTATGTTATATCTAAAACTCCATCTCAACCTCTCTCTTTAGATCATAATTTACATCCTGAGCTTTCTTCATGCCTCTGACAGGAAGGAAGCCTCTCTGGTTTGCCACAGCTGGTACATCGCCAGCCAGGACCATTGCTTTCAGGTGATTTGCTCACAGCTTCCTCAGCTTTGAACGTAGGCTGAGGCTGGGAATGACCGAATGCATCCTTGCGTCTTCATGTTTGTGCAGAAAAACGCCACCTTCTGCTTCCCGGCTTCGGCCTCGTCCTTGGAGCTGGTCAGGGGTCTGGCCAGAAGGTCCAACTGTAGCCTGAGAATCAGCCAGCTTGATGGCTTCAGTGTTTCCAGATCACTCCTCCTGGAGGTGCAGTATAAAGTTATCATCAAACACACTCAGTCCTTGTGATGCCTTTAAAAAATCCATATTTTCCCAACTGTTCCTGCAGCTCACAAACCAAACCATTTCTCGTCACCAAGGCCCAAAACGATTTATCAACAAAGAAGCAGTCATAGACTTCTTTGTAGGTTAAGACCACCCTTTCTCCAGGGCTCATGAAAACTGTTTCACAAATCTGTAAAGCAAAAACAAAACAGTTTTTTGAAAATCCAGCAACACTGATAAGCATTAAGGGCATACTTTTGACAGTATTTTAGTAAAGTCTGTCCCACAACCAGCTTATTCTGGAAGGAATTTGAACTATAAAACGAGATCACAATCGCAGTTAAGAGCGGCTTCAGTCTCTCTTTTGGGAGTTTTATGGCTGTAATTATTCAAACATGCCAGTGTTTGAATTATCTTCTAAAGATATTGAGCAGTAAAGAGTTGTAAACCTTGAAGGTTGCCGGGAAAGGGAGGCCAAAGTGTGATGCAGCTGTGTTGACTCAGAATTACACTGTTCATGTTGTACAATAGTAACCACAAGTGACAACAATTTGTCCTTTATATGACACAAAGCTACAGGATTTTGCGGAAAGAACACCCCCATTCTCTCTTTCCATGCTTCCCTATTTGCATACATTTGCATTGCCAGTAGTTTCTACTTAAAGCTACAAGGTGTAGGAATTGTAACAAATCGTGCTCTCTAGTTCCTCCGTTTTCAAATGGGAATTGCAGCTACGGTAGCCGTCATGCATCCAGAAGTAATGACAACATGACTTCCACATCATCCAGTTTTCTCTGGGTGATGAGGTTTGTAATTTGAAATAAATTATGATGTACAAACTGCATTGAATCATTAGTGTGAACATATAATTACTCCTCTCACTTCTCAGAGCTGGTTTCAGTCATGTGACTCTGGCTCTGAAGGAGAACACGTTGGATTAGCTAGACAGGCAGACTAGTGCTTTATGTCCCTCTCTGCCATTCTAGTTTTTCAAAATGGCCGAACGCCATGGAAACCTCCTTATTTCCTTTTCTTCTTGATCCCTCGTGTCTCCGCCTTAGGTGGGTCTGTGCCTGGGCTCCAGGGTGGAGAGCTTGGCCCTGCCTGGCAGCAGCATAACTGAGGCCTCTCTGCTGTCCCTGCTGCCTCGTCTCACCTCACTCCGGAGGCTGGACCTCAGTGGTCTGGACAGCCTCTTCATGTCCGGAGCTTTCCTGTCCAGGGAGGAGCACAGACAGCAGGTACATTAGACCTGAAAATCAACTCTTTTTGCTTGTCCACAAAGCCAAAATAAACCAAATGTTGAAAATACGTTTCAATAATAATTAGGTTGATGTCTAGAATTAGATGAAATAACTGTTTAAAATTATTCATGAACCTTTTAAAGTGTTTATTGAAATATAGTGCTGTTTGCATTAATGTCAAAAAGTGAGATGTCTTCTTTGAACTTTTGAACGTTTTAATTTTTTGCGGCTTTCAGTGTTGAACTGGTTCCCATTCTAACCTGATTCTGGTATTAGACTGTTCAATAGTTTGAGTTTACTCGTTTGATATGTTTCTGTTTCTGCATTTAGGCGCTTTTATCCAAAGCGACTTACAAAGTAGACACAATGTTCCAGTTTTCGTCAATCTGACAATCAGCTCAGGAGTGTTTCTCCTCTTCTGGTGACATCCCGTCTTCCTGTCCCAGGTCCGTTCAGCCTTGTGCGGCCTGGAGGAGCTGGATCTGTCCGACCTGCGGTACCTCTCTGACCTCACCTTCAATCGGCTCACTTGGTGCACGCCGCGCCTCCGCCGGCTCTCGCTGGCCGGCTGCCACATCGCCTTCGAGTTCGACCCTTATCAAGGGTGTCCAGTGGGAGCCGTGGAGGACTCCTCGGCCCTCCTGTCACTTCGGAACCTGAAGAAGTTGTTAATGGAGCAGAAATCCACCCTCATAGCTCTGGACCTCAGCCGGACATCCATCACTCCTGAGTCTCTGCGCACCATTGCACAGGTCAGCAACAAAGAGAGCATTTAGCATACATGCAAGTGATTTTATATTTAAGAAAAACTGAAATAAATAGAAATAATAAAAAAGAAAAGGAAAAATATTTTTAAAAAGGCAAAGAAGAAAATGAAAATAATGAACATTTTACTGCCTTAGTATGGTCATGGCGGGTTTTCATCTGTTGACAAATATGTCTTTCTGAAGCGTCAGGAAATAAGTTATTTGCACCATATGATACATTTCCCTTTTCTATCCACATGCAAGTGATTTTTGAATGATTTAAAAACTGTCTGTTTTCCCGTCTTCCAGGTGCAGGATTTGGTGTTAAAAGAACTGTATCTGCAGGGCTGCAAGGAGCTGACGGACTATTCGATGGAGATTCTGGTGAAGCACCAGCCGGGCCTCCTTAAACTGGACATCAGCAGCTGCACGGAGCTGACCAGCCGCTCTGTAGATGCTGTAGCTCGAGGCCTGAAGTCGCTGACTCACCTGTCCTTGTCTCGCAATTGGAAGATCACTGAAAAAGGTTAGACCAGAGAATTAATCCTGTAACATGGACACACCGATCAGGAGCCATGGGGTTTACGGAATGCTGACATCCTTTTCCATAGAAAGCTAAGACCAAAAATATTCAGATAATTCTTCTTTATTTGAGTTATTTCAACACGTCTGATGTTCGATCTTAAACTTTGTGAAGTAGATAAATATCTGTGATGTAACTGAAGTCCTTCTATATCCATCCAGCCATTAGCATAACCGGGTTTCCCAGGTACTCAAACCCAGAACCTTCTGGCTGTGAAGCGATGGTGCTGACCACCACACCACCATGCAACCCTGTCCTTATGTGTATTTCTTAAAAAAAAACTAAATACTTTGCAAGAATTGTTGTAGATTGAATGGGAATCGTCTCCGCAGGCCTTGCTGACCAGCTCTCGGTGGCGTCCCTGAGGTCTCTGGACGTGTCCGAGTGTCTGCACGTCAGCGGAACAGAGATGGTGAAGGGTCTGAAGGGATCCGGCGCGGGCCGAGCCCGGCTGGAGACGCTCAGTCTGAAGAGCTGCACCTACATCCAGGTCAGTGGGGCTGGGCGGGGGGG